TTCCATGGTGACCTGGACTTCCATGGTAAAATGGACTCCCATGGTAAACTGGATTTCCATGGTAAACGGGACTTCCATGGTAAACTGGATTTCCATGGTAAACTGGACTTCCATGGTAAACTGGACGTCCATGGTAAACTGGATTTTAATGGTAAACTGGACTTGCATGGTGACCTGGACTTCCATGGTAAACTGGATTTTCATGGTAAACTGGACTTCCAGGGTAAACTGGACTTCCATGGTAAACTGGACTTCCATGGTAAACTGGATTTCCATGGTAAACTGGACTTCCATGGTAAACTGGACGTCCATGGTAAACTGGATTTCCATGGTGACCTGGACTTCCATGGTAAAATGGACTCCCATGGTAAACTGGATTTCCATGGTAAACGGGACTCCATGGTGAACTGAACTCCATGGTAAACTGGATTTCCATGGTAAACTGGACTTCCATGGTAAACTGGATCTTAATGGTAAACTGGACTTGCGTGGTGACCTGGACTTCCATGGTAAACTGGATTTCATGGTAAACTGGACTTCCAGGGTAAAATGGACTTCCATGGTAAACTGGACCTCTATGGTGAACTGTATTTACATCGTAAACTGGACTCGCATGGTAAACTGGATTTCCATGGTAAACTGCACTTCCATGGTAAATTGGACGTCCATGGTAAACTGGATTTCAATGGGAAACTGGACTTCCATGGTGACCTGGACTTCCATGGTAAACTGGATTTTCATGGTAAACTGGACTACCATGGTGAACTGGACTTCCATGGTGAACTGGATTTCCATGGTAAACTGGATTTCCATGGTAAACTGGACTTCCATGGTAAACTGGACGTCCATGGTAAACTGGATGGTAAACTGGACTTATGTGGTGACCTGGACTTCCATGGTAAACTGGATTTTCATGGTAAACTGGACTTCCAGGGTAAAATGGACTTCCATGGTAAACGGGACCTCTATGGTAAACTGTATTTACATCGTAAACTGGACTCGCATGGTAAACTGGATTTCCATGGTAAACTGGACTTCCATGGTAAATTGGACGTCCATGGTAAACTGGATTTCAATGGGAAACTGGACTTCCATGGTGACCTGGACTTCCATGGTAAACTGGATTTTCATGGTAAACTGGACTACCATGGTGAACTGGACTTCCATGGTGAACTGGATTTCCATGGTAAACTGGATTGTCATGGTAAACTGGACTTCCATGGTAAACTGGACTTCCATGGTAAACTGGATTTCCATGGTAAACTGGACTTCCATGGTAAACTGGACTTCCATGGTAAACTGGACGTCCATGGTAAACTGGATTTCCATGGTTAACTGGACTTCCATGGTAAACTGGACTTCCATGGTAAACTGGACTTCCATGGTAAACTGGATTTCCATGGTAAACTGGACTTCCATGGTAAACTGGACTTCCATGGTAAACTGGATTTCCATGGTAAACTGGACTTCCATGGTAAACTGGACGTCCATGGTAAACTGGATTTCCATGGTGACCTGGACTTCCATGGTAAATGGACTCCCATGGTAAACTGGATTTCCATGGTAAACGGGACTCCATGGTGAACTGAACTCCGATGGTAAACTGGATTTCCATGGTAAACTGGACTTCCATGGTAAACTGGACGTCCATGGTAAACTGGATTTTAATGGTAAACTGGACTTGCATGGTGAACTGGACTTCCATGGTAAACTGGATTTTCATGGTAAACTGGACTTCCAGGGTAAACTGGACTTCCATGGTAAACTGGACTTCCATGGTAAACTGGATTTCCATGGTAAACTGGACTTCCATGGTAAACTGGACGTCCATGGTAAACTGGATTTCCATGGTGACCTGGACTTCCATAGTAAAATGGACTCCCATGGTAAACTGCATTTCCATGGTAAACGGGACTCCATGGTGAACTGAACTGGACTTCCATGGTAAACTGGACGTCCATGGTAAACTGGATGGTAAACTGGACTTGCGTGGTGACCTGGACTTCCATGGTAAACTGGATTTTCATGGTAAACTGGACTTCCAGGGTAAAATGGACTTCCATGGTAAACTGGACCTCTATGGTGAACTGTATTTACATCGTAAACTGGACTCGCATGGTAAACTGGATTTCCATGGTAAACTGCACTTCCATGGTAAATTGGACGTCCATGGTAAACTGGATTTCAATGGGAAACTGGACTTCCATGGTGACCTGGACTTCCATGGTAAACTGGATTTTCATGGTAAACTGGACTACCATGGTGAACTGGACTTCCATGGTGAACTGGATTTCCATGGTAAACTGGATTTCCATGGTAAACTGGACTTCCATGGTAAACTGGACGTCCATGGTAAAACTGGATGGTAAACTGGACTTATGTGGTGACCTGGACTTCCATGGTAAAACTGGATTTCATGGTAAACTGGACTTCCAGGGTAAAATGGACTTCCATGGTAAACTGGAACCTCTATGGTGAACTGTATTTACATCGTAAATTGGACTCGCATGGTAAAACTGGATTTCCATGGTAAACTGGACTTCCATGGTGAACTGGACTTCCATGGTAAACTGGATTTCAATGGGAAACTGGACTTCCATGGTGACCTGGACTTCCATGGTAAACTGGATTTTCATGGTAAACTGGACTACCATGGTGAACTGGACTTCCATGGTGAACTGGATTTCCATGGTAAACTGGATTGTCATGGTAAACTGGACTTCCATGGTAAACTGGACTTCATGGTAAACTGGATTTCCATGGTAAACTGGACTTCCATGGTAAACTGGACTTCCATGGTAAACTGGACTTCCATGGTAAACTGGACTTCCATGGTAAACTGGATTTCCATGGTAAACTGGACTTCCATGGTAAACTGGATTTCCATGTAAACTGGACTTCCATGGTAAACTGGATTTCCATGGTAAACTGGACTTCCATGGTAAACTGGACTTCCATGGTAAACTGGATTTTAATGGTAAACTGGATTTCCATGGTGAACTGGACTTCCATGGTAAAATGGACTCCCATGGTAAACTGGATTTCCATGGTAAACGGGACTCCATGGTGAACTGAACTCCCATGGTAAACTGGACGTCCATGGTAAACTGGATGGTAAACTGGACTTGCGTGGTGACCTGGACTTCCATGGTAAACTGGATTTTCATGGTAAACTGGACTTCCAGGGTAAAATGGACTTCCATGGTAAACTGGACCTCTATGGTGAATTGTATTTACATTGTAAACTGGACTCGCATGGTAAACTGGATTTCCATGGTAAACTGCACTTCCATGGTAAATTGGACGTCCATGGTAAACTGGATTTCAATGGGAAACTGGACTTCCATGGTGACCTGGACTTCCATGGTAAACTGGATTTTCATGGTAAACTGGACTACCATGGTGAACTGGACTTCCATGGTGAACTGGATTTCCATGGTAAACTGGATTTCCATGGTAAACTGGACTTCCATGGTAAACTGGACGTCCATGGTAAACTGGATGGTAAACTGGACTTGTGTGGTGACCTGGACTTCCATGGTAAACTGGATTTTCATGGTAAACTGGACTTCCAGGGTAAAATGGACTTCCATGGTAAACTGGACCTCTATGGTGAACTGTATTTACATCGTAAACTGGACTCGCATGGTAAACTGGATTTCCATGGTAAACTGGACTTCCATGGTAAATTGGACGTCATGGTAAACTGGATTTCAATGGGAAACTGGACTTCCATGGTGACCTGGACTTCCATGGTAAACTGGATTTTCATGGTAAACTGGACTACCATGGTGAACTGGACTTCCATGGTGAACTGGATTTCCATGGTAAACTGGATTGTCATGGTAAACTGGACTTCCATGGTAAACTGGATTTTCATGGTAAACTGGACTTCCATGGTAAACTGGATTTCCATGGTAAACTGGACTTCCATGGTAAACTGGACGTCCATGGTAAACTGGACTTCCATGGTTAACTGGACTTCCATGGTAAACTGGATTTCCATGGTTAACTGGACTTCCATGGTAAACTGGATTTTCATGGTAAACTGGACTTCCATGGTAAACTGGATTTCCATGGTAAACTGGACTTCCATGGTAAACTGGACGTCCACGGTAAACTGGATTTCCATGGTGACCTGGACTTCCATGGTAAAATGGACTCCCATGGTAAACTGGATTTCCATGGTAAACGGGACTCCATGGTGAACTGAACTCCGATGGTAAACTGGATTTCCATGGTAAACTGGACTTCCATGGTAAACTGGACGTCCATGGTAAACTGGATTTTAATGGTAAACTGGACTTGCATGGTGACCTGGACTTCCATGGTAAACTGGATTTTCATGGTAAACTGGACTTCCAGGGTAAACTGGACTTCCATGGTAAACTGGATTTCCATGGTAAACTGGACTTTCCATGGTAAACTGGACGTCCATGGTAAACTGGATTTCCATGGTGACCTGGACTTCCATGGTAAAATGGACTCCCATGGTAAACTGCATTTCCATGGTAAACGGGACTCCATGGTGAACTGAACTCCCATGGTAAACTGGATTTCCATGGTAAACTGGACTTCCATGGTAAACTGGACGTCCATGGTAAACTGGATGGTAAACTGGACTTGCGTGGTGATCTGGACTTCCATGGTAAACTGGACTTCCAGGGTAAACTGGACTTCCATGGTAAACTGGATTTCCATGGTAAACTGGACTTCCATGGTAAACTGGACGTCCATGGTAAACTGGATTTCCATGGTGACCTGGACTTCCATGGTAAAATGGGACTCCCATGGTAAACTGGATTTCCATGGTAAACGGGACTCCATGGTGAACTGAACTCCCATGGTAAACTGGATTTCCATGGTAAACTGGACTTCCATGGTAAACTGGACGTCCATGGTAAACTGGATGGAAACTGGACTTGCGTGGTGATCTGGACTTCCATGGTAAACTGGATTTTCATGGTAAACTGGACTTCCATGGTAAAATGGACTTCCATGGTAAACTGGACCTCTATGGTGAACTGTATTTACATCGTAAACTGGACTCGCATGGTAAACTGGATTTCCATGGTAAACTGGACTTCCATGGTAAATTGGACGTCCATGGTAAACTGGATTTCAATGGGAAACTGGACTTCCATGGTGACCTGGACTTCCATGGTAACTGGATTTCCATGGTAAACTGGACTATCCATGGTAAACTGGACTTCCATGGTAAACTGGATTTCCATGGTAAACTGGACTTCCATGGTAACTGGACTTCCATGGTAAACTGGACTTCCATGGTAAACTGGATTTCCATGGTAAACTGGACTTCCATGGTAAACTGGACTTCCATGGTAAACTGGATTTCCATGGTAAACTGGACTTCCATGGTAAACTGGATTTCCATGGTAAACTGGACTTCCATGGTAAACTGGACTTCCATGGTAAACTGGACTTCCATGGTAAACTGGATTTCCATGGTAAACTGGACTTCCATGGTAAACTGGACTTCCATGGTAAACTGGATTTCCATGGTAAACTGGACTTCCATGGTGAACTGAACTCCCATGGTAAACTGGATTTCCATGGTAAACTGGACTTCCATGGTAAATTGGACGTCCATGGTAAACTGGATTTCAATGGTAAACTGGACTTCCATGGTGACCTGGACTTCCATGGTAAACTGGACTTCCATGGTAAACTGGACTTCCATGGTAAACTGGACTTCCCATGGTAAACTGGATTTCCATGGTAAACTGACTTCCATGGTAAACTGGACGTCCATGGTAAACTGGATTTCCATGGTAAACGGGACTCCATGGTGAACTGAACTCCCATGGTAAACTGGATTTCCATGGTAAACTGGACTTCCATGGTAAATTGGACGTCCATGGTAAACTGGATTTCAATGGTAAACTGGACTTCCATGGTGACCTGGACTTCCATGGTAAACTGGATTTTCATGGTAAACTGGACTTCCATGGTAAACTGGACTACCATGGTGAACTGGACTTCCATGGTGAACTGGACTTCCATGGTAAACTGACTTCCATGGTAAACTGGACTTCCATGGTAAACTGGACTTCCATGGTAAACTGGACGTCCATGGTAAACT